CATTATCTTGGAGACCTCCTCCGAGGTTGGCAACCTTGCCTTGTCTGGCATGGCATGGGGTAGTGTAAACAGCGGAAGTTCTTTTGGAGCTTCCATGCTCTGGGAGATCCTGCTCTCAGGCCATTTTTTCGTGCCTTCTCAGGCTGGAAGCCTGAGAAGAAGTTGGTCTTTGCTTTCCGTCCTCCATTCGGACGGAACCTGGAGCAAGTCCAGTAGTTTTTGGGATAGCCAACATGGAGGCTCTTCCCTTTGTTTTCCTTTGTCTGCCTTTGGGGCTTGACTTGGGGACATGGGGGAGGACTCCAGGGGATAGTTGGGCCCTGGAGTTTCCTGCGACTCTATCTGATCAACTTTTTGGGCTGATCGTTCAGTGCTTACGCATTTATTGTGCAAGTCAATCACCTCGTGAGGAGATCTTCCCCAGCTTGGGTTAGATTGGTATATTGTGGAGTTCTAAGGGTATTGGGCCCCACACTTACTCCATGTAAGTTTCTAAAACCTTCAGGGGCCAGCCCTGAGGTGGTTGCTATTACCGGATCATGTTGATCCTCGTCGTTGTCTGATGATGGCTGTTGATTTGAATCTCCCATGATGGGAGATTGCAGTTTCTTAATGAACTGCTCGTTTCTTTTTAGTGTCGCTGCAGACACAACCCTGCCCTTGTGGGCATGTTTAGGTGCCATTGGCACTACCAAGTCAGATGTTAAGATTGATGAGTTTTTGTGGGTTGTGTTGTAAAACACACCTCATACACTTAAAAAAGTGTGAGGTCTCAGGGTAGCTCAGCACACAGAGCCGTAAGTGATACAAGAGTGTGTATTTTATGATAGTGTGTAAGCAGTTACCCAGAGGTTCCCACTTACCCATGTGACTATATGTATCTAATTACATGTGGCTCGGGGTTCAGGGCTATTGCCCTGACAGTTACCGGGTTAGCAGGATGATGGGCTATAACCCAGAAGTGGAAAGGAGGGATCAGCCCAAAGGTAGACTTTGCAGGGAAGGCAACTGAGTTGCCTGGTGGAAGTGGGGATGTGCTTGCAGACATCAGAGCTGTCCGGAGACCTTTGGGGTTCCATACTTAGGGAGGTGTAGGTAATATATTGAAATGAGGGGGTGGTGACCATCAGGGGAGTCAGAGGGGATTGCAGAAACTGGAGGCTCTGAGGTCAGTGATGATGGAGCGGAGGCAATCCAGAAGGACCAGAGGTGATGGAAGGTGATGGCCATGGATGGATATGACAGAAGTGTCAGGGCACACCCGCCTGACCTGGCTCCACCTGCCCTGACCTGGTATCCCACTCACCTTTATTCCTCACCCTTCATCACGGTTCCTCATTTCTTGTTCTTCCTTCTGTCCTTTTGTTCTTTTGTTCCTTTTGTTCTTTCTTCTATCTTTATCTACATGGATGACCTTTCCCCATATCTATGTATTATTGACCCACCTGCAATGCACACACAACACACCCAGCCCTGGACAACCTAGACAGCCTCATGGTGCAACTGTTAGAGACCAGAAGCGAGATGAAGGAGTTGTCTCCATGGTGGAGGGCTTCAGCCTCAGTGACTCAGACCAGGAGCACTGTGCCAAGTTACATGTCTGTGCCCTAATTTACTTACTGGCAACGAGAACTAAAAAGGGGGATCAACTCTAGTCGATTTTATCACTGAAGTGTAACCTATCTACAAGTTAAGTATATAGTTACTGTTACAAAAATGGGGCCGGAAGTGCCCATTTTCGTCCATTCTGGCACAGGAATAGGGAAGGGGGTTGGACATAATGGTTTACAGGTGGTTTCACAGATGGTTTGACATGTGGTGTAACAGATGTTAGCACAGTGGGTTTTTGGTTAATTATTGATTGGTTAAACTATATTACTATATAAATCACATGATACAGAACCCATAAGAGTGTAAAATGGAAATTCTCATTTCCACAACAGTTACAGTGAGGCGGTCTCATGAATGGCAGGACCAAGCGGAGCAGAGCTAATGGAGTTAAACATTAGCTGACTGAATATTACCAACGAGTCGGGTTACAGAGTTAGCAGAATGGCAGGTGATAACTGTCATATCCATCCATGGCCATCGACTTCCACTACCTCCAATCTCTCTGGACTACCTCTGCTCCTTCTTCACTAACCTTGGAGCTCCTGCATTCCGCAGTCACCTCAGTATCCCTCGATGGTCACCACCCCCTCTTTTCAATTTATTACCTATGCCTCCCTAAGTATGGAGCCCCAAAGGCTTCCGGACAGCTCCGACGTCCGCTAGCGCACTCCCACCTCCGCTGGGCAATACACTCGCTTGCCCTGCAAGCCCACCTTTGGGCCTATCCCTCCTTTCTGTTTCTGGGTTATCACCTACCACTCCAATAACCCCATAACCTGACTTGTCGGTAATATTCAATCGGCTAATGTTTAACCCCATTAGCTCCACTCCGCTTGGCTCTGCCATTTGCGGGCCTGCCCTCGTTGTAACTATATATACTCAACTTGTACATAGGTTACACCTCAGTAATAAAATCGACTAGAGTTTACCCCCTTGTCAGACACTGGTCCGGGGTCAGCACCAAAGGTCACCGTTGCAGGCCGCTATAGGCCGCGATGGCTGTGATGCTGCGAACAAGGCCCAAGGGTAGGGCATTTGGCCTCAGCGACTCTAAAGGAGCACTGTGCCCCCTAGCTGTCTCTTGGCCCTCATTTCAGACTTACTGGGGTTGCCTTGTTGGGGTCAGGACTTAGAGGTCATGGTCAAATTGATATTAGAGCTAAGGTACAATGGGGTATCATACAGGATATATATAGGGAGAAAGAATGAATGGAAGCGGACCCGGGCCGAAGGCCGAAGGGTCCGGAAGCAAACATGAATAAGGAGCGGGGTTGGCCGCACAGCGGCTGGCAATGACTGAGGGTCAAAACAAACAATAACAGATAAATAACGGAAGGAGTGTAGGGCCATGATAGCGGTGATGGTATTGTAGCAGCACCAGACTCGGAGTTGGGCCGGAGTCGGGCACGGGAATGGTAGCGGCCCTGTAGGGGCCAAGTGGGTGGGGTAGAGGAGTCATGCTGGGCACGGTGCCAGAGGCAGACTCAGGGTGGGAAGGTTGGTGTGGCTGTGGGGGAGTCGGCCAGGTGCAGGGGAGCCTAGGGGCAAGTGGGGGAGTGAGCAGGGTGTCCTCAGGGAGGATAGGGCTGAGGTTGGGGCTCGCGCTTGCGCTTGTGTAGTGGGAATGGGCTCAGGTGGTGTCGGGACAGGCAGGGAATGGGCCGGAATGCACAGCCATGACACCCCTTCAGTTCTGGTTGCCAGTTAGTAAGTTAGGGCACAGACATGTTACTTGGCACAGTGCTCCTGGCATAAGTCGCTGAGGCCGAAGCCCTCTGCCATGGAGACATTCCTTTGTCTTGACCTGGTCTCTGACAATAACCCAGAAATGGAAAGGAGGGATAGGCCCAAAGGTAGACTTGCAGGGCAAGCAAGTGAATTGCCCAGTGGGGGCAGGAGTGCGCTAGTGGACGTTGGAGCTGTCTGGAGGCCTTTGGGGCTCCATACTTAGGGAGGCATAGGTTATATTGAAAAGAGGGGGTGGTGACCATCGAGGGAGTTGGAGGTGATTGCGGAATATGGGAGCTCTAGGTTAGTGAAGAAAGAGAAAAAAAAAAAAAAAAAAAAAAAAAAAAAAAAAAAAAAAAAAAAAAAAAAAAAAAAAAAAAAAAAAAAAAAAAAAAAAAAAAAAAAAAAAAAAAAAAAAAAAAAAAAAAAAAAAAAAAAAAAAAAAAAAAAAAAAAAAAAAAAAAAAAAAAAAAAAAAAGAGTAGTCCAGAAGGATTGGAGGTAGTGGAAGATGATGGCCATGGATGGATATGACAGCAACCCAGCACGTGTGCATGCAGCACATGCCCTCAGGATCCCCCATGGGGACACCCAGATGACTGCAGCTGTATGCAGGGTGACATGGCAAACCTCATGTGACCCAAGCCGCATGTACATAAAGGTACCTGGGGTGGAAACCGAAGAAGTAACCTTCTTCTCACAGTTCCCACTTCAGTCTGAGTGGCCAGGGACCGTTGTCCCACATCAGGCCCATCAGTACACATGCCTGCTCCACACCCCACAACGGCCTCAGTGCTGGGCGTTACACCTGGGCCCCTTCGACCCCGGACATGTCCCTGACAAGAAGTTGTCCATGGTAGAAGGAAAAGGATGGATGGATGGAAAGAGAGAGAAGAAAGAGAACATCAGCAAAAGGTCCTCAGGGTTTCACTTCAAATGGTTTGAAAACAATTGAGTTCACTTCTGAACTGAATTGAAACGTGACACCTTTACTAAAATGCTTTGGGAAATTGGTCAATTCGGCCAGTTTCATTGTATTAGAAGCAACAGGATCATCAGAAGTGTCCAAAGTTGACCGCGACAATTTCCTGATGAAGGAGGGGCAGGGTAGAGTGGGTCCGGGTCAGCCCGGGTCGGGCAGGTATGCCCTGACATCCACCCCACTGCGGAGGTCCTTACACTCGATGCGGTGTGCATGGACAAGACAAATACCGTGATGTTGGGACAAGGCCTACCAAACAATGCACTGACAATGCGGGACCTAGTGGTGGAACCAACTCCAACCCCGACTCCCTACCCATTCATGAACACAGGCAACATGCCAATTGACCCCAACAATCTCTTTGTGAACACGGAATATGTGCCATCGGTTGCCCCCCCAAACTTGTAATGCTGGCATCCTTTTCACTTTTGAGCATTATTAGCCATATGAATGGCCTTTCAATGGCAGCGCTACAGACAGAGCATTTGGATGGCACCACTGAAGAAGTGGCTGGGGCGAGCTCTTCAGCTCCAAAGAACAACTAGACTATGTTGTAAGTGCAGGTTCTAAATTTATTTTTATTGTTCCCTTTATTATATATGGCTTCATAAGGATAGAAAATCGCATATAAGCCAGAACACTTTGTAGATAGAAAAGACAGAGATCTTGTATTTTACGCCCTCTAGTGTAATACCGAGTTCGACTTGGTTCAGCGACTTCTGATTAGCTTAAGTCTCTTAACCACTTGAACTCAATCGCCGGCCTCTGCCGACGTTCAGGTCCCTCACATTTTTGTAGGGTTCACCGTGTGCATCCACACCTGCTAAAGAGTAACAGGAAAATGAAAGAAACACAAATGACTGAGTACAAGAAGCGGGCAAAGCACAGGGGAAAGATTGTGAAGCAGGTCATGCAGCACTGTTCTATTTCAATAGAATTAGAAGCGTACTGCCCTCCACTTGTTTGTTCCAGTTGGATCCCGAACGTCTTTGATAGCATGGCTCGTTAAGTCCTGCTTTAGCTGACGAGGCGACACCAGATTATCCTGGTGACTTAACCGATCGGCTAACAGACCCGCAACCAATGCAGCTGACATCGCAGTGCCACTCGCAGTCCCCCACCCGCCGCCGTTTAAAGGAACGAGAGCACTGGTGCCTTCGGCAAAAATGTTAACCGCAGGTCCATAGTTGGAGAACGATGCAACCCGAGTCGGACCACAGCTTTCAATAGCTCCAACGGCGATAGCGCGAACAGCGGTAGCAGGACTGACACTCTCTTTTACGTTTATGTTGTGGTCCCCTGCAGGGACTACAATGTGCAAACCCCTCCTGACGGCATCATTGACGACCTTATTAAGAATGCGATCAAACTCGGTGGCGAAGGATATTATGAAGATGGTATGGAATCTGGTGGAGGCAAATCGGTCGCAAGCGAGCTGGACGGCTGCGATTACGTTGGTCGTCGGTGCTGTGCCTGATTTGGAGAAAACCTTGATCGAAAAAATGGTGGGCCAGGTCGTCACGCCATAAATGTTCCCCACTGCTCTCCCGGCCACCATTGTGCCATGACCGTTGAAATCTACGAAGGCGTCACCATCATCAACGGCCTGCACTCACAAGCAGATATGGGTGAACATGTATTACAGTGCATAAAGAGATACGCACAACACCTCCAATTATACGGGTCGTCCGTCCCTGTTCAGAAACCAGGGGTGCTTACGGTCGATACCGGAATCTCCCAATATAATCTCCACTGGCTTCCTAGAGGCGCGTCCTCCGAGTTCGCCTGGGTCATCCCTTAGTTCGGCTGGGACATCGTTGACCTCTGTCACAAGCCCCTCATTCACTTCATGGAGGCCATCGTAAATGGAAACTATGGCGTCAGCTTCGACATATTCAACTTCGGGGCAACTGAAAATTCGAGAAAGCGATGCTCCAGTTACATGTGCAGAGTAGCCATTGAGCACTACGATAGTTAGCCTATCTTCGAGGCGAAATTCCCCAATATCAACTTACTTTCATACCGGTGATTGATTGAAAATTCTGACCCAGGGCTCCGGCCGGATATCCGAGTGATACCTTCGATATGATGTTCCATATCTTCACCAGATTTCAGCACACTAAGCAATGAGTCAGCCAGTATTATGCTATGCCGTGTGTTAGACATACACAATGTACGAGTCGGGCTTTACTGGACCCTCGGCTTGGTACGAACAGAAGCAGCAAGGGCCATTGTGGTAGTGAAAACGAATACAGCAATGGGAATGACCATGGTTGAGAACTTCATTGGCCAACAGGTGAGAGCACAAGGAAGACTGAGAGACGTCCATATATATAGTGTATCAGCACAATGTGAAACCCGGTTTTTGCCTTGGTCCGCGCAACGCGCGACCTGGTGTTGGTCCCGGGAATAACCGGCGACCGCCGCCTGAAGTGGCCGAACATGCCACTCTTGCAAGCCTGGTCACCATCAACATTGCCATCGGCTAAGACCTCACCTGAATCTTCCCGCAGTTGTTGTTATATTTTTCAATCAAACTGTGAACTCAAAACTAGGGCTCCTACCAGATCGGATTGATCCGCAGATTGATCAGGCTAATCAACCAGGATCCGAACCATACCAGTCGGAGGACACCTACTACTCGTGACCCAATGAATATAAAATGGTATGTGGGGATTGCTGGTCAACCAACCTTCTTAGATAGTGTTCAACCATCTGAGTAGCTGCACTGATGCTCTGGTGCACTGAGTATGCAAGGGCCTGAAGGTGTCAGGGCATGGCCTATCTGGCTACCCTGACCCCCTATGCTGGAAGGAGAGAAGCTGTAAGCTGATCCAGGTTGATCGGGAGAATGCAGGTAAAATCCCTCATTCTCTCACACCACTATCTTCCACCATGCATCACCCCTTTCCCACATCTCGCTTATGATTACCCAAATGTATTAGTCTTCTTGTCATGTTATTCTTCCTATCGGTTGCCATGTACTGTGCAGTTGCATCCGGAGTGTGACAAAAAGTACTGAACCGGCAGGTGTGACACCCAACCGGCGAACTTACCATAAAAGGAAGGCAATACTATCGGATGTTGATCATAACTAAATGTAAAAGAATTGGATGAGGAAATGGCCATTTTTCGTATTTACTTCCAAAAAAGGGAAATTTGAATTACAGTTTGCACAGCCACCCTGAAACCAGGTTTACAGTGTGACCTTGAGGCCAGCATGATGCATGACAGGTTGTTGGTCATGTTAGTACAGTATCTCCATTGTAGCTGCACTTTAGTAGGCCATGGTGCCTATGTGTGAGGTCTCAGGGTAGCTCAGCACACAGAGCTGTAAGTGATACAAGTGTGTGTATTTTACGGTAGTGTGTAAGCAGTTACCCGGAGGTTCCCGCTTACCCATATGACTATATGTATCTAATTACATGTGGCTCAGGGTTCGGGGCTATTGCCCTGACATTCTCCCCCCTTGCGTTGCATTTGCGATGCATACAAGGTTGATGGTGAAGAAAATAATGTTTTAGGAATTGGTTTACATTGAGTTTGAAATTATCAATGAGTGTTTTGTTGTTGCCACTTTAAAGTGGGCGATTTTTGTACATGTCGGTGAAGGAGAGAGAAAGGGTTTAGGGAATAAGTGAGTGTGGGCCATCACTTTGAAGTAAACGGCAATACATGGGTATCGCAGGGAGAAAAGTAGTGGAGTTTGTCGAAAATGAATTTTGACCCAAAGGTTGTATGTCTTTGGTGTTCCTCACTTGTTCTGTGAGGGTTCGTGTGTAAGTGGTGTTTACACATGAGCGGTGGTGGATGTGGGTCTTTTGACGGAGTAGAGATTTCCGCAATTGTTACTTGCAGTTCCTTGCATACAGTATTGTGTGTGGGGCCTTGAGTTGGGGGAAGGTGTTTTCATGGGCGCCTCGATGGCATATTACCATGTCACTTTCCCTTTCCTCAAGGGTGAAGGGTGGAGTCATTGCCCTGGAGGAGGGTTTTCCTCCGGGTTGTTCATCTGGACATCCAATTGCTGCATCGGATGCGATGACATAGCCTGGGCTACATTGTCGAGCTGTGGGCTCAACGAAGTGGGCGCTCCCTGGGTGGGAGCAGGTTGTTGTGTTCCTGAGCTACTTGGCTCAGGTGTGGAGTACAGTAGGTCTACTGTTCTTCCCATGGGGAAGGGTGGTCATTGGGCTGGTTGTCCAGCATGGAGACTTGCATCTCTTTCCCAGTATTTGGAAGCTTTCGCTTCCTGCTCCACAGTTCTTGCGGCATGTTCCTCAGGAGTCCTGAGTGGTTTGAACTGGGACTTTAGATTGGTGGCTTTGCCTAGACTTTCCCAGGAGATTTTTCCCTTGTTCTCCGGGGAATTATACTCCTCCACGAGTCTTGCAATACTCAGGAGTCCCAAGAAGTATTTCTTGGTTTCCTTCGCTTTTTCGCAAAGGGTTCTGTGTACCTTGCCGCTTTTGAAGGCGGCTTCGGCCTGTTTGTACCAGTGTACGAATTCTTTCCCACTCACGCTTGTCCACCAAGCGTATGCGGCGTCGTGCACCGCTTCTGACCCCGCTATTCTCCTCATGGGGAAGTTGGGGTCGATTGTTACATCGACTGGAGCTTCGACTTTGCTGAACTCGTTGAGTTCGGCAGTCTTGTATAGCATGTGGACACTTCCCTGCAGGGTAGCTTGCCCATAGGGTGCTGAGGTACTCAGCGGCCTGCCACCTCTGGCAGTGGTCCCCATTTTAGGGTCTGCCATCGGTTGCCTACCGCTCTCCCTCTTCCCCTCGACATGGGTTTGCCCTTCTGAGGGCGGGCCCTTATGCAACCTGGACAGGGTTGCCTGCCCACAGGGTGGCAGGATAGTTGGTGCCCCACCCCTTGGTGTGCTAGTCCCCATGTGGGGTCGCACCTCATGAGGCCCGGAACCATATCCCCTCCCCCTGACCTGGGAGGCCCCTGTCATAATGGGTTTGGCAGCAAGGTCTGCCAGTGCACGTGCCTCTCTGAGCTCACGTTTCAGTAATTTGATCTCCCTTTTTTGGAGATCGACCTCTCTCTCTGTGTCTTTCAGAGAGTCGAAGATGCCCTCAGCATCTCTTCATGCTCTGTTGTATTTGCACCTCCAGTGGGTGCAATGGTCACAGGCGTCTTCTGACACCCTCGAGTTATCAGACTGTGCCCGTTTGGACAGTCTGGATGAGGAGCTGCTGTCACTCCCTCGTCTCCCTCCTACGACGAGGGACTTCATCTCTTTCAGCTCCTCATGGAGCTGACCTGTCTGAGCAGCTACCACTGATGCGATGGCTGATTCCCAGCCTGCATTTGGCTGGGGTGTTGTTGGACCTGGGCCAAATTGGCCAATCCAGGGGTTGATCTGGCCAGGGAAGTTCCCTGGGGAGTATACCTGGGGCTGCAGCAGCAAATGCTGCCCCTGGAATGGCACTTGTTGTGCCATCGGTGCAGTTTGCACTGCATATGGTTGGAAGCCCCTTTGAGGAGGCTGGGGGTATGCGGTGCCTGTTAGCAACACAGATGGTTGTTGGTTCGTGGCACTCATTTGTGCTGCGTGCGTCGTGTAGTCCATGGTGCTTATCTGCGCCTGGTGTTGTTGTTGTTCTGGGGAGCCTTGCTCCCTGGGTTGTCGTATTTTGATGTCCAGTGGCTGGTTTGGATCGAATCGAGGGTTGCCTCCCCCAGAGAACAACATTTCATCGTTATGTTTCTCTTGGTGGTGGGAGGGGTTTTTGTTCTTGCATGCATGGGATTTGCTGCTGTTGTGTGTGCTTTTACATGTGAGCCTGTGGTTCATGTGGTCTAGGTGAGTTACTCACCCAGAACTTTCCCACGCTCTTGGCTGTGGGCCATCGTCCCTCGGCTTTACTTCCTCTGCCTCCATTTTTGGGGGCGTAGTGATGCCGAGAGTTCCCTGTCTTCTTTGATGGGGAGTTTTCCGGTTCCCTTACATTTTGTAATGTGAGGTACTCGTCCAGGTGGACGAGGTCATTGCAATTTCCTAGGGGTTCCCATGTGGTGTCCCCTAGTTCCCATTTAACCTTAAACCAGAGTTCGTTTTGAACCCATGTGTGGTTTAAGATTTTGCAAACTACTGCTTCGCAATCAGGGTCTTCCCCAAAATCGTAGAATATGTTTACTTCCCTATTTGGGAAGATTTCTTGGTCATTCGGCTCGTGAGGTACAAGCCAGGATACGTGGAATCTTGGGTGGATTCCACGTTGTTCAAGTTGTGGTGGCAACTTGAGGACATAGCTTGACATCTCTGGAAATGTTTCCAGAATTTCGTAAGGCCCTATGTATAAGGGCTTTAGTTTTCCTGCCCTTCCTTTGGGTAGGTTCAGCTTATCCATGGATAAGTATGCAAGCTTGCCTTTTCTCAAAGGTGGGTCCAGGCATCTTTTCTTATTTGCCTGGATTGTTTGAGCGGTGCGATTGTGTATTATCACATCATGTGCTGCCATGAGGTTTTCCTTCACCTTTTGGGCAAAGTCATTTACTGTGAGGCCCCGGCCCATGTCTATATTCCGCCCACAACATCAGTTGATGTTGTGTCGTGTAATAATTATATCACGACGCTAATTTAGCATTGCGGAAGCTTCTCTATTTATTTGTGCCAAGAATGTATAAGATTGTATATAAACCCTCGGGGTAGCTGTAAAAGGCGGATCAGCCTTTACTTCTACCCCGTCAATATACAGCCAAATCAAGCATATACTTAGACGGACTACTGAGGCCTGAGGCAAACAGGGGAACGGAACGTTACCGTCCCCAAACTAGTAAGATACCTTTCATTTACTCCTGGGTAGTCCGAGGGTGGTGCCGTTAGGCACATCTTTGGCATATGGCCATAGATTAATTCGAATGGGGCAAATCCTGTCGATGTGTTCGAGCTCGCATTGATCGCAAATTCTGCCATCAACAGTTTCGCTGCCCAGTTACATTGATCTGGTCTAACCATCGTGCATAGTATTTGTACTACTTTTTGTATCATTCTTTCTGCTTGGCCATCACCTTGCGGGTGGAATGCAGTTGTGAATTTCAACTGCACACTAGAAATGGCTGCTGTGCAGCCCTGACCTTGCTTGTGATAAGGCTTTTGCATGTGAGGTTAACCGCCACAGCAGAACAGTTTCTGCTGAATCGTTGACCTTTCCATCAAACTGGTAGGGTCTTTTTGCACCATTATGCTGAGGTTCTTTCTACCATCACGCAACTTTTATTAAGCTGTCATGGGTGTTCTTTCCCCTCTTTTTGTTTTCCATGAGCACATTACATTAGTTATTACCCAACACCAGTTAGCTTTCCCAACGCTCTCTATTCCACTAGCTTTATCTGATTAAAAGAATGCAGTGCATTGCACTGTTGATATGAATCACGGAGGAATGTGTAATTAGTGATGGTGGATGGATCGAGGTCCAAGGCACACTCAAAAATGAGTATGACCACAGTTTAGAGGTTGAATCGGAAGTGATGCAAATGGAGTTAGAGGAAGCCACAGTGTGCAGGAAGAGTCACGTTTCAAACT